CCCGTGACGAGCTGCATCGAATCGATACCCATTTTATGCAAAAATATCAACTTTGAAATTTGACCTTTTTTGACCTGACCTTGATCTGATCTCCACCAGAAAGTGACCTAAACCGTACCTGATGGTCTTATAACCAACACCATTGGGTTGGACATGAAAAACTGGCCATAAAACATGCATCGCACAACCTTAGTAAAGTTGGGTTCATGTGGTGACCCTTGGTGACCTTTGGTGACCTGACCTGTGACCTGACCTGGTATGACCAGTGACCTCTAATAGCAACATATGTACTAGACAACTGACGTCTTATCGCTGATTTTCGACAAAATGCGTTTTACTCGGTGTTAGAGCGCTTTCCCTAGAAGCCCCGTGAACGGTGAAACATTTTATCTTTGACCTGACCTGTGACGTCATCGGTGACCCCGAGGTCAATAAAATTTGGTTTCCTTCGACAAATTTGACAGGGCTATCGAACGCCGTTTGAATTTTGCGGATCCGTCCAGTAGTTTCGGAGATACGAGGGGGGGGGGGCAAAAAATAGCCCCCCCCCCCCCACCAGGTCGCGTTATAAACAGACCCCACCAGGGCGCGGGTTAAAATACCATTTGATGGCCCTCATAGGCCCTCAGAGGCCAAGGCCGAGCCCCCAGAGGCTAGCGTGGGCCCTTAGAGGTCGCTTTGGCGGCCATAAAGAAGCTTAGACTCGAGCGTGGGATCCTTTGACGCTGGTGTAGAGCCCTAAGGACTCCTTTGGGCCAGTAAGGAGCCAGCGCTAAGCCCACTAAGGCCAGCGTGGGGCCCTCTAAGACCATTGTGGGGTCTTCTAAGGCCAGTGTGGGGCCTTGTAAGGCCAGTGTGGGGCCTTGTATGGCCAGTGTGGGGCCTTGTAAGGTCAGTGTGGGGCCTTGTAAGGCCAGTGTGGGACCCTCTATGTCCAGCATGGGGCCGTCTTTGTCCAGCGTGGGGTCTTTTAAGCCCAGCGACATGGGGCCTTCTTAGGTCAGATGGAGGCCCATTGGCCACCGAAACTAGCTTGGGGCCCTCTGAAGATAATGTGGAGCCCTTTTAGGCCAGTGTGGGGCACTCTGTGACCAGCGTGAACCCTCTGAGGCCAGCGTGGGACCATCTGTCATCTGACTTCAGACTTCAGAGGCTGGTGCCGGGCCCTCGGGAACCAGCGCGGGCCTTCATAGGCTGGCGTCGGGCCATTAGAGGCCACCTCGAGGGCATCGGCAGCCACTTTTCAGATCTTATATATGCATGTTTGAGCCCCCTGAGGTAGGAGTGACCCTTAAAGGCCGGCGTGGGACCCTCAGGGAGCATCATGGGCTTCTAGAGACCGGCGTGGGTTCGAGAGCGGCATAGGGTTGTAAGACCGACTCAAAGACTTCCTAGAGCCAGGGGGGCCTATGAGGTCAGCCATAGCATGGGTCTCCTCCTGAGGCCATTATGGGGCCCGGAGGCCAGCGTGGTTCACTCTGTTGCCGGTGTGGGGCCTTCAGAGGCCAGAATGAGCATCCAGAGGTCGGAGTGAGGCCAATGTGGGCGACATAGAGCCATCAGAGTCTAGATCAGAGCTCAATTCTAAAGTTCAGGGTATCAGCCCTCAACCAGCGCAAGACACTGAGATAAGAGATTGACATCTGCCCCTTGAAAAATGTTACAATCGTAAAAAAATTGACAAAACATTTTGCTTTTGATAATCTTTCGTGGCCCCGGCAACGACCGAAGCAAAAAAAAAAACTGTATGCCTACTGCTGAAATAGATTGTACACTACATACAGAGCTATCGATGTCGATGGCTTTTTCACGTTTTTCTTTTAGTCTTTTTTATATTGCCGAGCGTGCCTAAAAATTCCTCACATGATGAAAGTGGCAAAGAACCGCACCTGGGCGTGGCATAAGGACGCCACTACTGGGGCCCCTAAGGTAAGGGTGGGGCCCGTTGAGCAGGTTTGGCCTCCCCCTTTTCAAGATCCTGGATTCGCCACTGCAGATCGTGCTTTGGTCAGCTAGCTGCTGGGCTTCCAACCAGCCCAGCTGCTCCCGCAGGTCCGCAGCGTGGTCGAATTTCCGCCTACCAAAAATGACTTTAGCGGAAAAGTTCAAAATCTTTTGAATTTTTGCTGCGTTCTTTTTTGACCCATTGCCGTAGACAGATATGCAGTAGCGAACCTGCGTAAGCACCAGGGCTGACACGAGCATAGTGATTATGCCACGGGGTACCATGTGGCGGACGTGTGAGAGACCAAGGAGAGCCCCTGTGCAGCGGCAGCTGACGGCATCCACGTGGCTGTCCCAGGTGAGGTGTTTATCGAAGAGTATTCCGAGGTTCTCGACTTGGTCAGAGGGAACGAGTCTGGTTTCACAGAATTTGACGGTAAATTTTGGAAAATCGCGGAGATTTTGACGGCTACCAAAAACAATCAGCTCTGTTTTACCCGCGTTCACCTTAAGGGCGTTAGCAGTAAACCATTGATCCAGAGAGGCCAGAGATGTCTCCAAGTTGGAGATGAGCGTTTGTAGTTCGCTCTTTTTACCTGAGACTAGCACCTGGGTGTCGTCAGCGTATTGGACCACCGTAGCACCCTCAGCGTATGGTGACATGTCATTGGCAAACACCGTGAAAAGTAACGGCCCGGCCCGAGCGCCGAGCCCTGGAAAACTCCCATGGAGTTGGGCATCGATAGAAATGCAGGAGAAGAAAGGGTTACGTCGGTTATGTATGATGATTGGCTGGTTTGCCGAGCAGCCGCGAGAACGGCGCGACCCACATGTCGACGCGTTTTTTCCAAACCCCACATCTGTTCTCCCGTGAATTTCCGGGAAGCACGAAAGATCCCTTTTAAAAAGCGTCCAATCATCCGATCCTGATCAAATACCTATGTGTGTTCGTAAGCTTGTTATGGCATTGCTTGATCTGCCAAGGCAGACAAACTTTAGAAAATCGAGTGGCTGTACTTTTTTGAAAGTTTCTATCCAGCTTGTCTGAAATTCACGGGAGCGCAGATGTGGGATTTGGAAAAAAAAACGCATCGATGTTTGAGCGATTGTTTGAAACGGCGACCCGTAATAGAGCGACTTCAGAGGAACGCGACCCTGCATAAAGGAATCGTACCCTCAGAAATTGCTGCAAGGTCAGAGTGACATGCGCATTTTGCAGTTCCTGTTTTTCGTTGTTCCATGCGGCGTTTTGAAGACCGGGTACCCCCAACTCAGCGGAAATCCACACCCATTTATGTATCTATTTGCCTAGGTTCATTTTACTACGTTGCTAAAAAGTTCTTTTCATTTCCCCGTTGTATTTGTATTTTCAAGTAGGTATGTCTTATCAGAAATCATAGGAAAACGATGGGGCTCCTGACACTCGAAACACGCGCTGGCCGCTGATGGGCGCAGCGACGCAGTATAGCGAGGCTCGCGGCCGGTCTTGCTCCCACGGAAGACCTCCCGCTGAGCTTGGGACTTCCCTAGCGTTCCCGACGTCCGACACCATTCCAGAGGATAGCAAGGCTGAGATATCGGGAAAGTGCGCAGCGAAATGCGACTGCTGTCAGCCGTCACAAGCATTTGACGCAAGCTATAGCGCTGAAACCGAACAAATTAGGTAGATGTAGTTTTTTTTATAAATTTTGTCCGAACCTTTTCATAGAAAGGATTCACAAGGACAGAGCCACCGCTAAGCGAAGCTTGTTGCGGTGAATCTGCCCTCTACCCTCCGATCGCGCAATTCCAGTTCTATGGCAGAATTTAGAGTCCAAAGTTTAACGTGCGCACATAGCCGCGCACGGCCGGTCCCCTCACTGACTTTGCCTGGCTACGGCCTGCCACCAACCGCAACCATACCTGTCAGGAGGCCCATAAATGCCAAGCGCCCGTCGCGCTTCGAACCCTGACTGCTATAACCGGGAACGCGTGCTCTCACCATGCGGAGTCCAACGCTCTACCAACTGAGCTACGGGACCGGCAAAGTTATACAGACGGCAAAGTTATATAGTTATACAGACAAGCTTCATCGTTCACACCAAAAATTGTCTCCTCACACACGTAGCGCGAAGACACTTTCGTGATGATTAGAGTTTTATGTGCAGTGTGGTCTTTTTTTTTCTCGGAAAACGTTCAGGCAAACTTCAAGAAAATGTGTTACTTCCCAGCCTCAGGCCAACTGGGAAGAGGAAGAGCAGAAACCGTAACAATTCGTCCTGAATTGACACATCAACTTTGTATACACCAGTATAACGCCTTTTGGGGCGACTAACGGAGCGAGCGAGAGGGTGGGCCTTGCACGTGCGAAATTGCGAGGGGGTACCTCCAACTGACTTGTGCACGGCACCCTACTAACCGGTCTCTAGCGATGTGCCAAATTTGGGCACAATCGGCCCAGCCGTTCTCGAGATCTGGAAGCGGCACCCTGCACGTGCGCACGTGCAAAATGGGTCCCAACTGACTTGTGCACGGCACCCTACTAACCGGTCCCTAACCGTGTATCAAATTTGAGCGCAATCGGTCCAGCCGTTCTCGAGATCTGGAAACGACCCCTGCACGTGCGCACGTGCAGCAGCACCCCAACTCTGGCACATGGATATGCAGTGCCTAGTGGGTGCCTACCTACATGCCAACTTTCAGCGCAATCGGCCAAGTAGTTACCGAGATATTGCAACAATTACAAAAGTGACACCTCTTCGTTTTGCACGTGGCACCGGCACGTGCATAAGGGGTCACCCACATGCATCGGGAATAGTCCAATACTTGGTAGAAGGAATGAAGCTACCCTACAAAAATTACCGCGTGTAAATCGGTCAAGTGGTTGCTGAGATATAAGCCTCGCAAAAGCGTGACCACAGCCGGCCGGCCGGCCGGCCGGCCGCTCATACTCAGAAATTTCCGTTAATCTAAGGAAAGACTACGCTCGCTTCGCTCGCTCCGTAATAAGTTTATGAAGCTCGCACCATGTTCATGATTTTTCCTTGAACGTGTTTCCAATGGCCAGCATGCAGCTCCCAACTTTTTCGCCTCACCCCGCAGTTCAGGCCTTTGTATCCGGTAGGTGCGGCCGGTCGCAGGGACTTGCATCAGGTGCATTCTCTCGGCGGGGAAGGGAGGGGGACATGACAAGAGAGCTGCAGCGTCCGGGCCCGTGGCAGCCAACCAGCTGTGGCTCAGACAGCCCGCCGCCCGGCCGCCCCCCGATTCACGCTATAAGTATCGCCGGCCGGTGCGACTGCACAGATTCTCGCCGTGCCTCGACCCACCGCGCCATCACCATGCTGAAGATGCTGCTGCCGCTGATGACTGTGCTGCTGTTGTGGCAGAGGGCGGCCTCCATCGAAGAGCTCTGTCGGGAATGCCTCTGTGCGGTAAGAAAAGTGGCGGTCCAGTAAGCTGTTGACTGATGTGTGGGGTGGCAACCAGCTGTCTGATGGGTAATTGAATCTGTGCGACGTTGTATTGGCTGGCATTTGATTGCTATAGTTCAAAATGGATATGATGACCCCAGGATCGATAGATTGCGTAGACATATCGTACGGAAAAGAGAAGATCACTTTCAATAAAATATTTTCTTGAAGTTATTAATAGCTATTGCCTACTTATAACTTATTACCTCCAGCTTATTACTCATTACTTAATTATTAATTATTATTACGTGTAGTTATTTCTTTTTCCAAAATATCGAGTTTTTCAGTGCATAAGGCGGGACTCCAAACCGAAGCCATTCATCCCGCAATTGCCGAAATTTCAAACGGTTGTCCTCCAAAGTTGATCGGTCTGCCATTTTAATATTTTGAAACGACGAATAGATATATGCTCCTTTTTTAACACAAAATATGCATAGATTGGTATCAAAGCTACATTTTCGTTAGTCTTGACCTTTTTCCCAATATTTCACAGTTTTGGAAAGCGTAAGGTAGCAGTTTGATACTGGATACGCTATTGTATTCTCTCTCTCTCTCGTGCAAAAAAAAAGACCTTACCTAAAATATGGACCCTTGAAAGCGATTGTCGTTTGTAGAACCATGTTTTGCATCTAAATTGACCGAACATTATGTCACCCTGACGTCATTTTTGACCGTTCTGTTGAAGTACCCATATTTTCCTTTTGCAGGATGTGCAAAATGAATGTCGAAAGGGGTAATAAAGTTTGGTGGTCCTCTTTGGCTCTTAGCATGTGTTTAAATAAATATGGGGGAAAAGGACAGGAGGCGGTTTCGCCCCCCCCCCCAATGTGGCGCGGGTTAATAAAAAATAACTCCTGATGATTTGATAAACTAGGTGTAGGCAACTAAAAACAAGCTGGAAACCTTATAAGATTGAACTATGGGCCTAAATTGAACAAACATACCTACACCAAACGTGTATCAAATATCTGCCAGGCAACCGTCATGAAAACAGCTAATGTACTCGCTGAAAGTGACCTGACCACTGACGTTTGACCTCTGTGTCCCGTGCGGCAGAACTCTGGCGGAAGGACCGGAGACGCATCCCACTGCGTAATGCCGGACCCGACAAACTGCCTAGAGGGCATCTACTGCGGACCTTACGGGATGAGCATCAACTACTGGATAGACGCAAACAAACCCGGTCCGGACGACAACTTCTTCGAGTGCATGGGCGACTGGGCCTGTGCCAACAAGACCTTAGATAACTACATCACCAAGTGAGGGACAGCTGACCACAGAGTGCGCGAATTACAACATTTGGTAGAACATTTAGTACGGTCGTATTTGGTATCAACGAACACTGAACAGCTCTCCCAAAGAAATTCCTCTCAAAACTTCCTCCAAAACTCCGTTTTTTAGAGAGTTTGTCCATATGAATGAGTGGGGCCAACCATTCATTGTTTTTTTAGGGGGGGGGTCATTGACCCTCAACCGTACGAGTACCTATTGGCTTTTACGCGGCGTCTAACGTACTCGTATACGGGGTTCCATAGCACCCCCTTCCGTTCGGCTTTTGATTGAGCCAGAGTATCAACGAACACTGTTCGACCATCTTTATAAGTGTGAGGATTAACCTGACCTGAAAGGTCAGCCAATGACCGAGGACTTTAAAATTGAGTGGTATCAGCTTCCTCTCACCACGAGCAGCACGATCGTTTTTTTTTTTTTTTTTTGCAAAGCTCTATCTCGATCAGAGGCCGAACGGCAAAGAAACTCCTACGGAATGCTATTTTTACTTTGCACATTCCCTATGATTTTTGAATCATCTTATAAACAATACTGAAATATCGTCATGTTCTGTCATTCGCGCGCCATAATTGCATTCAACGGTTTTGGTTTTCTGCTGTCAAATGTTTCGCGTGCTAATTTCTTTCAATAATAAGATGTTGTGAACTATAATTTTTATCATTTTGCAACATCATCATTATTTATAATTTAATAAAACAAATTTTGACGTGACAGCTAGACATAACTTGACAAAAACATGATATTGTTAAAATGTTATACTTCTTGATTACAAAAAAAAATTACAATTTACAATATAATTTACAAACTTTTCTTGTCGTATAGGTGCCGCTGGTGGTAAAGTTTAGTGAAATCGGATTTGACATAGTTTGTTGTTATGAAACAGGCCTCTGCTTAAAATTTCTTTGAAGCGTCTCGATGAGAAAAGCGTGGCATATTTTAGCAAAGCATGAGCAAGCAGTTATTCATCTTGTGAAAAATGTTGGTGAAATAAATGTCTTACTTTTTTATGCCAAATACTTTTTACCCCAAAGATATAGCAAAAAAAGCAAAAATGGGTTCGATTAGGTCCGTTTATTTTGATGGCATTTGGCTTCTGTGGGCCAAACCGCTGGCTTGACTTGCGGTCAAATTTGAAGACATGATGGCGAAAGAACTTTGAAACAGCTATCGTATGGCTTTTCCGAGATTCTCAAGCTCTTTTGGTTGATGAGTTTTACGGCAATTTGTGAAAGATGGTAAAAATTGGGGCCTCATTTTTGTGACAGCTGTACTTGTGGCGATTCTTAGTGACCTCACTGATAAGCTGATTAAAAACTAACATTATTATGCAAAATGTTATATGTGATGAGCTATCTATCGCTTTTTCTTGAACTTTCTAGCCTCCTTAGCTTTCGAGTTATCCTCTTTGGCCAAATACGACCCTTCCCCTCCTGCCAATTCCTCCCACCATGGCGAAGTTGGCTGAGACCCCCACCTTAGTAGTTATACCAACATTGAGCTCGAAATGACATTTGAAGCCAGCACCAGAGCCTGAAAGTGTGAATTTGCCTAAATGTTGATAAATTTTACCTCTGACGTCATAAACGACTCTAACATTAACAAAATTAGCATTAACAAAATCAATAGAGTTCTCTTTCGGGGCTATTACGGCCGTTTGAATTTTCAAAAGCATACCAGTAATGTCGGGGATAGCTTATGAGAGTCCCAGTCTCATATACACGTAGGTACAACCTTCGCAAATCATTCGCGCTATGGAAAACACCCAACCATGCGTGGCCTCATGCGTCACTTCTGATTCTTACAAACTGAGGTGTTCTTTGGACGAAATGTAGGTATATTATAGTTCACGTAACATTCAGCTCAGCACCTTCCCGTACTGACGATCAGGACATTTGGCGGCCAGGTACTGCCAGACCATGTTCGTGGGCCACTCTGCGCCGTGCAGCTGCGAGGAGCAGGTCCGGCTCCACCACTGCGGGCCGTACAGCATCCACACGGAATCCTGCAACAACTACTACGACTTCTACTTCGAGCCGTGCATCAGCTCGGCTTGAGCAGCCCGAGCGAAGGTGACGCCGGTAGCACTTCGAAAACGATGAGATGGCGTGTATAGAGATATGCAAATCGTCCTGCGACACAGGGAATTTGTACTAGGTGCTCATGGTCATCCTAAAGCTAATACATTTTGTTTATCGCATCATGTGAGTGTTTTACGAAGAAGATAACTAGGTGCAACCATTATTGCTTAGATTCCACATAGACGAGTCAAGAGCAAAAGTTGATAGGCATGATGATTGATGAAATGAAATCCACTGATGCAATGCAATAATTGGATGATTAGAAGGCATTTTTAATTTTAGTCATTCTCATATTGTTTATTGGTATTCCACCCAGTTTGGGTCAAACCAGAACGCTGCACAGTGGGGATTTTTCCGATCTAGCACGTATTTATTCGTAGAGGGCAAACCATAGGTAGAATTGTAGCCAGATTGTGCACATATGTTGGCTGGTGTGTCCTGGTGAGAATTTTACCTGTAAATGTGCATAATCAACATAGTATAGGGGGTTCAATTGGACCCCCGCTCAGCCGTTTGGCCCCTGATCAAGCTAGAGCTTCGCGGAAAAGTCAAGCGTGCTGCCTATGACGAAATGAGGCCGAATATATCCAATTTCAAAGTCCAAGGTCATAAGCTGACTTTCCAAGTCAGTTTAATGACCCAACTAAAGTTGGGAAATCGAGATCTCTCGAAACTTCGCAAGGTTAGGGTGTTACGGGGTATTTTGGGGTGCTGATCACGAATTTCATGTTAGTTTTGATCACAGACGATGTCTTTATGCATTTAGGCCAGGTCGGGTCAGGTCAGGTTAGATCAACTAGTAGGCGTCCTGCCAGCCATCCATAGAAGTGTCACCTACTACTGATAGCTTCGTAGCATGGAACGAAGGCACCAGAACTACTTCGTAAATATTCAAATGGCTGCTAAAATCGAAATCAGCACCAAAAACTACCCTAGAAACAAGTAAAACTCGAAAAAGTGAACCAAGGTCATCAAAAGGTCAATGACCTTGACTTGACCTTCACGTGACCTTGCCACCCACCATTATGCATGGCACCAACAGCATTTCACATATTTGAACGTTTAAAACCACAAAAAAAAAAACTGGAAACCGCGGATAACGTGAGCTGGCATACGCCGAATCGCGATTCCGGCCAAACATGGTCTCGAGAAATATGCCACAGGTCAAAGGTCAGTTGGGTCAGAGTCATGAATTTTTTAGGTTAGATGTAATATTGATGATCTCGAGGGCACCGAAAGTTTCGGCGCGATCGGCCGCTTTTTGCGCGAGTAATTAGCGGAAAACCATGGGGTTTTATCCGACCCCTTCCCCCTCCCCCTCCCCACAAGTGCGATGGTTAATAAAGTTACGGTATGTATAATTTACGCTTGTCATCCTATTCCTAATGAATGTGTCTCAGAAAATATGCATCATATAAATCACGAAGTAAAATTATTCGCCTATGTCCGGAGCATACCTATATCGTACTGTTTGCCCTAGCGCTCCTCGAGTGGGGTGTTAAGATACTCTAATGTGAATATTCCGTGTTCACACTGGCGGATCCTGGGGGGGGTCCACGGGGTCATGACCCCCCCCAAAAGGTCTGAGAGGGTCATTTGACCCCCCCCAAAAGCCGAAGACCTAAATGCGCTATAGACGCCGTCTTGCATGCTCAAAATCACCTGTCAAACACTTCTGAGCTAATACCTTTGTTTTTCTGGATCGTGTTGCGTGAAAAGGCGTATTGAAGACCAGAATCTTACTCGTTTTTGTCTCAACCGTGTGAGCACCAGGGGATGATCCAGGAAAACTCCAAGGGGATGGTCATGAATTTAATTCGTGGTGCCCCTACCTATACGCAAAATTAAAAACTCAACGGATTTCGGTCACTTAATTTTGGTGATGTCCTATTTTCATTTTTTATTTTGTTTGTTTTATTTTTAGTGCCCCTGGGCCCTGGCAGGTCAAAATCACGTCTGAGGCGAAAGAAATTCACGGGAATCCCAAAAATCACGTCAGGACATTCAGGGCCCTCTGACCAGCCTGACAGCTAGGGCCCTTCTTACTTCCTGGGGCCTCCAGTGAATAACCGCTAGTGTCTGTGTCTGACCGCTAGGGCCCCTCTGACTCCTCAGTAGGTAGGAGGCCCTCTGTAGAGGAGGTCCTCTGTAGAAAGGAGGCCCTCAGTAGAGAGGAGGCCCCCTGTAGAGAGGAGACCCCTTTAAAGAGGAGGCCCTCTGTAGAGAGGAGACCTGCTGTAGAGAGAAGGCTCTATGTAGAGAGGAGGCCCTGTGTAGAGAGGAGGCCCTCTGTGGAAAGGAGACCGCCTGAATGCAGAAGGCCCTCTGAAGAGTGGAGACCCGCTGTAGAGAAGAGGCCCTCTGAAGAAAGGAGGCCCTCTGTAGAGAAGAGGCCCTCTGAAGAGAGGAGGCCCTTTGCAGAGATGAGGTCCTCTGGCTCTTTGAAGAGAGGAGGCCCTCTGTAAAGGAGGCCCTCTTAAAGGGAGAGACCCTCAGTAGAGAGGAAGCCCTCTGTAGAGAGGAGGCCCTGTAGCTTCTGTAGTTAAGAGGCCCTGTGAAAAGAGGAGGCCCGCAGTAGAGATCGGTGGTCCTCTGTAGAGAGGAGGCCCCCTCTGTGTTTTGACAAATGTTTTTGCAAATTTTTCGCGGCGCTTCGCGCCGCCGATTTATGTACATACGTACAGGTCAATACGAAATCTTGACTGTAATTACATAAACCAACCGTGTCAAATTGAATCAGAATTCATATGTGTGCTGTAAAGGAACTCCGGCTTGTACTGCAATGCTAAAAGGGTGGTAAAATTTGTGTTTTGGAGCTGTGTTTCGACACATTCTTTTGCAAATTTTCTCGGCGCTTCGCGCCGCCGATTTATACACCAATCAATAAGAGAGAAATAACAGTGACTGTAATAACACCAACCGTGTCAAATTGAATCGGAATTCATATGTGTACTGTGAAGGAACTCCGGCTTGTACTAGCATGCTAAAAAGGTTGTAATATTTGTGTTTTAGAGCTGTGTTTTGACAACTTTTTTTTGCAAATTTTTGCGGCGCTTCGCGCCGCCGATTCATACACAGGTCAATAAGAGAGATCGTGACTGTAGGCTACTATTTACTAATGCATTAGGCTAAAAGTGAGGTAACTATATCTACTTCTGGGTTTTTAAGTCGGTCGACCCGCCTCCCCCCCCCCCCCCCCCAGTAAAAAATCCGTGGCGACGCTCCTATATAGGTGGGTTTCACTAACTAAAACTACTGAGCCGAGTGACTTACGATAAAACTTCATCTTATAAACGACGAAGATCAAATGTCATTTTTTGATCTCGACATACTCGCTCCCTACCCCCCCCCCCCCCCGGTCGTCAGAATTCATTCACCAGACCTGGTATGTCGGCCGACTGGTGACCCCCCCCAAAACGACCCCCTAGATCCGCCCTTGCGTGTTCAGGCAAGTTTCGGCAGCCAAACTAGGCGTTGATTTGTGCAGGAGAAAGTGGCGAATTCGATAGGATATATTTCGGAGTGGAAAAGTGTGGAGAACATTGTTGATTTCCTACATTTATTTAGAATATCCCTCTAATGCCCACACATAGTTCCACGGTTCCTAAAATTAGTACCTTGTGACATATGATTCATTTTGGGTCCCTTGTTCGAAATCTGGAGTCAAATATTTTTTCGCAGTTCAAATTTCGGAAATAAATTTTGTATCAAATATGATACATTGGGCATTCCACTTGGTAATTTTTAGTGGTATCAGACCACACAGAAGGAAGTGAAGACATAGATGAGAAAATATATATTATTAAAAATTTCAGTGATAAAAGTGGCAGTTAAAATGTGTAAAATGCCAACAAGACATCCTTTACTGTGCACTTTTTATCAGAACATTTTCTTAATATTTCATTGGCAGCCTTCTTGTATAAAAATGCCCTTTCAGTCGGTGCTTAGGGAACAACGCTTATCATAGGCATCTATTTACGAGTGCCTTCTATTCCTTCAATTTCCACGATACAGCGCGTTGCACTTGTGCAATTTTTTCATAATTCAGACATGTGGGGATTGTGGGCCATGCTTCTCAAACGTAGATGCGTTATGCATGCTTGATATAGAAATGAAGACATTACAGTTGGCTCGCGGTAAGTGGTTGAAGTGAAGCAGTTCTGATGCAAAATGCTGGACAGCCTGCCGACGGACCGGAATCAATGCCAAAGACGATGTTGGTTTATCTTCATGATAGCCGGACAATCTCGGGTGACTGAAACTCTCAGCCTGTGAATCGTCAGTTAGTACTTTGACTGGTCGTGCGGTCCTGATGTCATCGGCGTCAGTATAACAGCCGCGCACTGACCAGTGCAATAACCGTTGTACGTGTCAGACAACAAAGGTACAGGTAACTGTGCACCGATCGGCAGGAACTTGCATAATATTCATTGCCCTCATATGGAGGTGAGCATACGCATTACGCAATGCCGCACTTAGTAACTTTTATTCTTATGGTCAGTACAAAAGTAGTATCCATGTTTTAGTACCCATAAATCCTTTTTGTTCAGTGGCACCCAGCTACCACAGTTGGCGGTATATGTCAATATATGACAAATGACATACCTGGCAGTGAAAATGCTTGCCAGGTGTCAGGCACCTGCTGGAACCTGGCAGCAGTGCATGGTTGCCTACTTCTTAGAAAGGAAATCAAAGGAACCACGCCCTTCGGTCCGGAGTCTGTCTTCATGGCGAGCCCGTTTAGCAAGCTTCCTCTGAAGATGACGATATAGTTTTCCACTCCACATTCAATCTCTTACTTCTGGGATGAACGGAGGAGATTTGAATCGCAAACAAATTGTGAGTCGTTCTCCAATATGAATGAAAAATGCTGGCTGGCTGCTAATGCAAGTCTTCAGCCATGCCCAGCTAACACATAGACCCACAAGACATAAATAAGCCCGTCCACAACCCCTGTGGGAATATCGAAATTGTGCAAGAGACCGCTGAATCCTCCCGTCCCTAACATCAAGTCTCAATTTTTGGTTTCACGAGTATAAATGCTCGCACGGATGATCGTTCCTTGAAATCAACAAGCTTGTCATCGATAGCATGTCATTCCTAACGTGGTTTTAGAAGATAT